TAGGCATTACTGCTTAATAGAACTTGTTAGTGATCTTTTTGGGCTGGCTTCCTTGGCTATTGCTCTGGTCAGTTTCCCAACATCCCTCAAGTTCCTCTGGGCAGTGAACTTTACTTGTCGTCTCCTTCACAGCTGGATTTTCCAATTTATTGGAAGACAATTTTATAGATTTTTAAAATGGTTTTGAAAGATCTCTATATCTAGAATCACATTCATTTTCTCATGTGGTTTAGTTGTATTTCCCCCCTTTTTTTCTTAATCAGCATTTTTAGTTTTTTTGGTATTTCATTGTTTTGCTTTAATCTTCTTCACTCTTTTCCCTTCATCTTCTTCGCTTTAATGAGTGTGTGATTTATTTGGTTTGTTTTCCTAGTTTCTTATTTCATTCGGTTTTAGTCTTATTTTCTAATAAATGCACTTATGGGGTGAAACTTCAGAATTTGGTGTGGCTCCTCCTCCCCACATCTGGTTTATCAGCAAATCCTGTTTGCCTCACCTGGGACATACATGCACATGGAAGCTGAGAGCAGAGCGCCACTTCTACACCCACCCTGGCACAGGCCATCTGCATCTCTCATCTGAATTTTTGTGACAGCCTCTTAATGGGCCTCCTGCCTCCAGCTGGGTCTCCTTTCAGACCATACCCAACACAGCAGCCTGAGTGAGCCACTTCTCCCATGTATTCTATGGTACTATAATAATAACATACTTTTAACTTCGGAAAACTTACAGGGATCACTTTGTCTTACTTCTCAACAATAATTACAAGAAGAACTGCACATGCGTGTGTGTGTGTGTGTGTAGCGACAGAAAAAGAGCATGCACAATAGAGGGCATGCTACTCCAGGGACTGTCTCATGGGGGTGACAGGAACTGATGGAAGGTGGTTCTGAGCAGAGGCTCACTCTGGCCGTGGGGCTGCCCTGTCAGGGAAGGAAGTCTTACCAACTCAGACCAGTCTACCTTGGAGCCTTTGTTAGGCTGCTCCTGCTGTGTCTTTTGTCTCTGGAGGCTCTGAACTGGGTCAGAACCTTGCCATGAAGCCCTTCCAAGGCCACTCTGCTCCCAAGGTGAAGACTTATTCCCTAGGCTGATTCCCAAGCCGTGTACAGCCACAATGCCCAGCCCAGCACACCAGAGCTGCTGCAGTGAGGTTAAGTGACAATATACTGCAATAGTAAAATACATGAGAAACTCATAATAAAATGCCAGCAACATGGAAATGCACTGGATTTGAATGCAGACCCTATCCCATTATCACAGTCCCAGGGAGAAATTACAGGCCAAGATTAAAACGTAATCAAATCCAAAAGCTTTGAAGACCAAAGGAAGTAAGATATGAAGTCACATCCCACGACCTCATGAGCTCAGAAGCCACCTTCCCTGCTGTTCTTTGTGGAAGGGTGTCCATGCTCGATTGAGTTTGGGTTCATGCAGCAGCCTTGTCCAAGCCATGTCTGAGATGTGTCATACAGGTGTCCTTGGAGGTCCTTTGGGGCCTCAAACACTGCATCATCTTCACACAGGCTTCCTTGAGCCTCAGTTAGACAACCATACAGCCTTCAACCCTACAGAGTTACCCCAGGCAGAGTGATGTCAAGGACCCCAGCAGGGCCCAGAGATACCTGAGCAAAGTTTGATAATCAGGGAGCTCCTTGCCTTGGATTTCTTGTTACGCAAGAAGGCTACCTTAATTGCCTTGAATTTATGACCTCAGCATGTAGGCATAGTTGGGAATTTAACTTCCCAGCTAAAGGTGAATTTTGGTCCTAGGCATTTAGCATCCTAATGTTTGTTTCTTCTCATGGCTTTGACACTCTTTAGTTTGGAGTTGAGGGTGGCCCTGTTAGTGAAAGGTGCCCTTGCTTTTCCATCATTAGGTATTTTGGGTCCCCCAATGCTTCTTGCTACAAAGTTCCAGGCTTGAGACACTTGTTTCCAAGAAATGAATCTTTTGTAGACACCACCCTCAGATGTAGACACCACCTCTGTGCAGTTGCAGAGCCAAGCAGAGAACCCTGATAAGGGGAACCCAAAGCCTGGGAAGAAGCCACAAGAGCCCCAGGTCTGCCTTTCCAGTTCCCTCCATGGCCCCGAGTATGAAATGGAGTCAGACCTAGGCCTAGCCCTCAAACTGTGAGAAAATCAGCTGCCAGGGCCTGAAGGGCCTATAATGTACCCATTTGCTGACGAAACAGATATTTTCACCTCCAAGTCACTTAGGACATGTCATTCCCAGTGCTACTGGTCTCTGCCTAAGGCCTCAGAACCTTTGCCTCAGCTTTCCAGGCACCTTTGGGCCAGGCCTCTGCTGCTGTGTTGTTCCAGCGGTGGTTCACTGGCACTGGCCCAGCCTCTGGGGCACTGGGGATGCCAAGGAACACTCCTGTCTCTGTAGAAGCAGCTCTGTACTTGAGGACAGAGCCACCATGGATGCTAGCGGCTTCCAGAGTCATACTCCCAAAGACTCTAGGCACAATCCTGCACATCCAGATCAAACTCTTCTAGCAGGTGGTGGCTCCAGCCTGGCCCCAGGCTTATTTTGAACCCCGCGATGCCACTCATTTGCTGAATTTCTTGATGTTCCAGCCTGTAACCCACTGTTGGGGTTTCCATCAGTAACAGCCTCCTGCCTACTCAGGTTCTGAACAGATTGAAACTAGAATGAAGAGGAAACCTGCAGGGTGAGAATGCTTCCTTGGTGGCAGAGAACTGCCTTTAGGGGATGTGCTTAGATGGGTTGGCCTGAGGCTCATTGTCTAGTGCCCATGTGCCATACTGGTCCCCAGAGGTTGGCTGAGGTTCAGCCCAGTCGTGGCCACACAGGGCCAGCTCTGGAGAGCAGAGAGTGTGGGCTTGTTTCCAGCCAGGCCAAGAAGCAATGGTACATGGCTTTTGTTCTCCCCATTTTTCTTTCAGAGTATACTTTTTTGACAGTATTTTTCTGTCCCATGCCTGCAATTTGCCCATATACTACCATGGACAGTGGTAGGCATGACAATAGTAATAATAGTGACTGTGATTTCCTGTACACTCACTGTGCTGGCCTGTGTACTAACCTGTGTGCACCTTTGTAACCATCCCAGGACAACTGTCCTGTTGTACCAGAACAAACTGGGGCCCGGAGAGGTGGTGTGAGCCTTCTTGGCTGGCGGCAAAAGTCAGTGAAGCATTGTCCAAAGGGACGTGGACACCAGTTTTTGTAGCTACACAGGCAATCTGCAGGGAGGCACTCTGGTTTGCAGCTGTTAGGACCTTGGAAAGTTCTGCTGGAGATGAGTTCATGGGTGATTAGGCTCCAGCTGAGAGCTTTCCTGCTTTAAACATGCAGCATAAGTGTGTTTAACACGTGCTTAACCTGCAGCTCTGGGTAGAAAGAACCCTGGGACTTAATATTCAAGAACAACTTGACTATATCACCGTAGGAGCCCAGATGTCGTTTTATAGATATGCTTTTGTGTGTGTGTGTGTGTTTTTAAAAATGTGTTTATTTTCCCTGGCTAGCATAATTCTTGGGGGCTTTACCCTTTGATCTGGGCTGGAAAAAAAAGTTACCATTTTAAGATCTCTTAAAACATGTCTTTGGATTTATCATCTGTACAGATGGAAATTCACATAATAGTTCTATTCTTAACTGAAGAAAAACAGGAAGAGAAAATAAATTTCCTGCTATTTGGAATGATAAACAAGGTGAAGCATATGCTGTATATCCTGGCAACAGAAATTCAAGATCGGAAATAATTCCTGTCCTCTTGAGCCTGCCTTCAGCCTCCCTGAGGAGAGCAGTGACTGAAATTTTCTACTAATTGTAGCCATAATTTTAGCATGCAATTAAACACATGATTTCCTTCTCAGCTGATGTCTTTTTAGTTAGTCTGACATGGATAAGACAAAAGCTCTGTTGATTTGAACGGCCACTTTAATCTGATAGGAGGTCATGGAAAGTCATCATTATTTAAGCACCTTTAACCATCCAGTAGGATCTAGATTAATCTTGCTGATAAACATGGCCAGCAGCTTGGGTGCTTCTGATACAATTTCCAGTGCTACTGTCTGTGGGCCAAAGAAAGCTGTCTGTTCGCATGCCCATTTTGCTGAGTCCTTCTGAAGTTAAGGACCACTGCTAGGAAAGACTCAGAGGTGGAATTTGTGAGGTTGTGGTGGCGGGAACAAAGACTCATGGAGGTCACCCAGGTTGTGGAAGGACCTCAGGGTGTGAGGCCTGCCTGTGCCCCAGCAGGCCCAAAAGCCATGCCTTCCATGGAGGGAGATGGAGGGCTTCACTGCATACAGTGCAAACATGGCCTTCCAGAATGCTCTGTGTTTGCCTTCCCATCATGTACAGTCCCAGTAACCCACATTCTTTCCCACCGTTGGTGTTACCAGACCTTTTATTTCTTCCCAAGTCTGTTGGGCACACAGCAGCATCTGTGCTACTTAATCCCGCATTTCCATCCCTCTTACAGGGCTGGCCAACTTTTCCTGTGTTGACTGGCCGATCCTCCTCCCAGTCAACCTCCTTCTCTCAGTGTGACCTGGGTTTTGGATCACGCTGATCTAGGTGTGTGGTATGGTTTGGCTGTGCCCCCACCCAAATCTCATCTTGAATTGTAACTCTCAAAATTCGCATGTTTTGTAGGAGGAACCTGGTGGGAGGTAATTGAATCATGGGGGCAGGTCTTTCCTGTGCTGTTCTCATTTTGTGAATAAGTCTCACGAGATCTGACGGTTTTAAAAACGGGAGTTTCCCTGCAAGGTCTCTGTCTTTTTGTCTGCTGCCATCCATGTAAGATCTGATTTGCTTTTCCTTGCCTTCTGCCATGATTGTGAAGCCTTCCAGCTATGAGGAACTGTAAGTCCATTAAACCTCTTTCTTTTGTAAGTTGCCCAGTGTTGAATATGTCTTTATTAGCAGTGTGAAAATGAACTAATACAGTGTGCTTTTGGATGGAGTAATCTGGGGTCTCCATTTTTGGTAACTGTTTGGATTGCTTTTTCAGATGGCAAGTTTGGGGCCTACATGCAGGTGCACATTCAGAATGATGGGCCTGTGACCATAGAGCTGGAATCGCCAGCACCCGGCACTGCTACCTCTGACCCAAAGCAGGTAAGCCTGGAGTCTGGTGCCTGGCTCCATCCCTTGGGTGCCTGTAACATCTTTAGTCCCTGGAACAGTCCTTGGTCTGAGGAAATGCATAATTGCTGTAACCTTGTATTTATTTTAATACCTGCCTTCCCAAGAATGCATGTTTACAATGCACTCCTGAGTACTGTGGTGGGTGGGTACAGCACTTCTCCCTTGCCTCCTCCTACCTTTGATTCCAGAGGACATGTCCTGTGCAGAGCCAGGTTCTTCCCCTGGGCTTCTCGTCCCCTGGCCAGGTGCCATGGCGCCCACCCGCCCCTGGGTGGCAGCAGAGCAATGGCCCTGGATTGGCTGGTTCACCCATTCTGAATGGTTACCTGAAGTGGGTTTGGTCCCAGGTGTGGGTGGATGTGTCCCTCAAGGTTCGCTGTAAATCCCCATTTTTCTAAAGCAATGTCTGACCTGGATTTGCTGCCAATTTGTAAGCTTTCATGAAATAAAAGTTAATTAAAGTAGAGAAAGGAAATGTGTAATAGTCCTTGGAACCTGTGTGGTCTCACAGATGCTTAGCATACTTGTAAAGGCTTAATTAACGCACTCACTGGATAGAGACACATAGGGCCTGGCAAGCAGAGGAGGAAGGACTGTGCAAACATTTCCGTTCTTCCTTCCTGGTCTCCCTCCCTTGCTAGAATGCTGTGATGGCCAGTGATGCAGCGGTAAAGGGACAGCACAATGGAAACGTGAAGCTGGGCAACCTTTTCAAAGCCAGATTTTTTTTTTTTTTTTGGGGGGGTGGAGTCTTGCTCTTGTTACGCAGGCTGGGGCACAATGGCACGATCTTGGCTCACCGCAACCTCCGCCTACTGGGTTCAAGCCATTCTCCTGCCTCAGCCTCCTGAGTAGCTGGTATTACAGGTGCCCACCACCACGCCCTGCTAATTTTGTATTTTTAGTAGTGTCCTTGGGTCTGTAAAGGTTCTCACCGACCGAGGGCCCCGGTGACCTCACATTGCTTTATTTCATGCCCATTTTTCAGAACCCCTGTCTTGCCACTGTTGCCCACTTGCCCCTGGAAATGGCTGGAGCCTTGTTTCCCAGGACGCCATTCTCTCTGGGTTTTCCTCTTGCCTCTGGCTACTCCCTCCGGTTCTATTTGATTATTATCCCATAGTCTTCATTTATTATTCTGGTTTAACTCTATTTGGAGAAAAGTTTTAGTCTAACTTTTTTTCATTCTAAATATTTTTCTGGAAATGGTAGAATAATACCTTTTGCCTTTAGAATCTTCAACTTTCTTTCAACCAGTACCCTCTTCTTGTTTAGGTCAAAGGGTACAAAGATGCAGTTATTTCGGACGAGTAAGTCTCAAGATCTAATGTACACCACAAGGAGTGCAGTATCATATTGTGCACTGGGAGTAGATTTAGGAACTTCTGGAGTAGACTTAGGAACTCTCAGTGCACACAGAATAAAAGATGGTAACTGTGTGAGATGCTGGACATATAATTTACTTGACTGTAGTAATCACTTCACTATGTGTGTGTAGATCAGAGCATCATGTTGTACACTTTATACAATAACCTACTGTCCCCAAATCAAAAAATCCTCAAGTAGGCATTTTTTAAACTTCTAACGAGCCATGTTAACTTATAAGGATAAAAAAGACTTTTAGTTATTTCTGAATCCTTTAGGAGTTTTCTTTTTAAATACACAAATTGTCTTGTGTCAATTTCATTTACATGGACCAGTTTCCTGATCCCCAAAAGCCTCAGACCTTGTGCATTGCACTGCGCTCTGCCCCCAGCTCTCCAGTAGGTGGCGGCGGGTAGGCGCCGAAGGGTCCTGTGTTAGGTTGATGCTGGCCTGTGCCTGGGGCCTCTCTCTGCCTTTTCTTCTCAAATTAGAAGGAGCTTCCTCTTGGAGCAAATAGCTAATTTGCTTGCTTTTGTTTTGATAGGAAGAACATAGCCAAATTCTTTTTACTGATAGATAAACATGTGTTTCTATCAATTAAGCTTTTAATTCTCAGTGTTTTTTTTTTCCATTATATTCCAATCAGTAATGAAAACTGCTACAATTACATTAAAGAAAAATGGTTCTTTTGGCAAATTTCAACATTATAGAAAAATGATTCTTTTAGCAGGTTCTTTTAAAATATAAATAAGTTCTTTAAACTATCTGAACAAATGAACAATGTATGTGTGTGTATGTATATGGATGTATATGTGTGCATGTGTATGTGTGCATATATGTATGTGTGTGTATATGTGGATGGGTGTGCCCATGCGTGTGTGCATGTGGGTGTGTGTGCATGTATTTGTGTGTGTACGTAAGCACCAAGTGTCATTTTGGTATTTGATGGTGTGCTAGGCACTGTGAGGAAGAGAAGGAACTGCTGCCGCCCAGCCTATGCAGCCAGGGATAGATTTTGGGCAACATAAACCTGAAAGGTTAATGCCAGTGAAAGAGGTGGACAGCATAAGGCAACTTAGGAAAGGTTACAAGACCGTTGAGTTTGTGCTCCTCCTTAGAACTCTTCAGTGCCTTCCAAGTGCATTTTGCTGAAGCCTTGCATTCCTTGCTGTCATTTCCCAGGGCCTGAGTGACCAGGCGTCCGTGGCCCTCTCTTGCCTGCTCTGCGGCCATCTTTCCCTCCATCCCTATACTTCACCTACTGTATCTGCTGTTGCCTCCTCTCCCTTGCTGAAAAGGTCAAGCTCTTTCCTACCTCGGAGCTCTTGTCTCAATTCCAGAGTCTCCTCCTCATTCTCCAAGATTCTCTGACCCCCACAGTTCCCAGGAGACCCATTTGGCCACTCTGCCCTGTTGCTCTGGTGGTTTATTTCACAGACTTCACACCATCTGCTATCATGATCCATACCACTCATAAAACTCAAGCTCCCTGAGTGTTGTTCACTGCCCTATCCTGCGAGGTGTCTGTGGGCGGGAGGAGTGGTGTTTGTTTAGCAGTGGTGCTCACAGCTGGCGGGCTGTGGTGTCTATGAATGTCCCGGGTTCAGAGAAGGCCATTGTTACTGCTGTTGCTGCTCAGCCAAGCGGGCCTCCTAGGGGACTGGAGGTTTTAGCTGACCTTTAAGGATATGGAAAGTAGAAGGGATTCCCGATTGTTTTCAAATTTCTATTTCAAATAGGGGTAGATTATTATTTTCAAGAATCTCAGAGCTCTGCTTATGTGATGCAGCTACTGCTGGTGAAGACTGGGCTGGTAAAGGTAACCAGCAGTTTGCCTTTCTAACTGGACCGCTGCTTGTTTGCAGAACTGGCTGCTGCAATACCTGCATGCTTTCCATATAGCATACCCATCATATTATAGGCTGCTGCATGGGTTTCATGCTATGTTGTGGCAGTGAGAAGTTGGAAGGAGGACATTACATTCTTGCTCCAAAGGACATATTTCCAAAGGGAACAGGACATGGAAGCAGTAGCGGAACCAACTGACTGCTGTTTTTCCTGGTACATTTTTTGCAGGAGAACATGATTCTGGTAGGAACATCCTGCTTATTATTGCCTAGTGCATGATTGCTGGTACATGACCTCTTCCATTGGTGGCTAGATATTGGGAGATTTTAACACTCTAGCCTGCCATGTCTATGGTAGAAGCTTATTCTTGTCTTGTTTTAATCTTAAGTGCCCTTCCCCTGAGTGGGGCTTGTTTTCCTGAGCCTCACATGGATGGGGGAGCAGATGGAGGTTTTTCTTGATGAGAAGGGCCATTTGGTAATTGAAGGACTCTTCCCTGGGGCCTAGGGCCCACTTAGTTCATAGTGTTGCCATTAATTATTTACGTTCTCATTTATTTAGTGCCATTAAAGATGTCATTAAATTGAAATGCTGGAAGGAGCTAAAAAAATGAACTTTCAAATATACGTGTTTGAGTTAATGGACGTGTTTATTGACAAATCACTGGGATGAGTTGGCTAGCGAAACCTGGTGCCGTTAATTTTACGGAGCTATTAATTTTACGCTCCTCTGAGTATCACTGTTGCTTTGTCCATAATTTTCTCTGTATACTTGTCTTATCAGCAAGCATTCATCCCTGTGCCTGGACCTTGGAATGTCGAGTTGAGACATTCATGGCTTCTGTAGGATCTGAAAGAAATATGTAGGGTAAGGGGCTGTGGGGGAAAAAAATTCCATTTGGTTTTTATTTATTTATACTTCCAGTGACAAGGGCAGCCTTTTCATTACCTGCTGTGGAATCCAGAGGTGAAATGAAGGACACATGAACACACAGGTGGCTTGCTTCTACCAGGTGGCCCCATCACAGGTGCACAGAGGGGAGCTCTCACTTGCTACATATTTCAGTTTGGGGGACAAATCAGATGAGAAGTACTCTGAATATAAGGAAGAATTATGTTGTTGCTAATAACTTTGCATCTATTCATGGAAGAACAGTTATTTAAATGTACTCCTTTTCACTCTGTTTTTAGGCTTGAATTCTAGATTCTAGCTCCCTAATTGTGGTTGGTTTCAGCTTCAATGTTCACATGGCCTGAACCAAGCTCGAGTTGTTGACTTGCTGCAGGAGTATGTTTTAAAGTCTGGTTGCCAAGATGGTAGCCAGATCCTGTCAATTACTCCAGTAATATTAGTTCATTTTGTTATATTAATTTATTGAACAAACATTGACTGAGAGTCCAGCTTTGTTTATGCTGAAGTATCACCAAAACAGTAGTGGGAACTCAGCAAAGCGTCCTCATTAGAGAGTTGTTGCTGTCGTGTAGTCTTTGTCAGTGACGCAGGCTTCTGGGACCTAGGCTGCCGCATGGAAGGCCTCCTACCAGGGCTAGGGCGCCACCTGGCCAGACCTCTCACCACACATGGAACCACACCTGGATTTCTGATCCTTTCTGTCTGAACACCTGCTTTCCATGAATTATGAGATCAGCTCAACCCTCTGGGGAGTGAGTTGGGTGTAGAGATGGTGGGGCTCCTGACCTCACTCAGCCCAGCCCACTGCTCTGCGCAGTCAGAATGTATCCTGAGTCCTTGTCAGT